AAGCAGGTTCCAGTCTCCAAGCTGTCAGCACAGAGCCTGACACAGGGCTCGAACCCACAAACCAGAGATCATGACCTGAAGCCAAAGTCAGAGGCTCAACCGAGCCACCCAGGTGCCCCTGAGATCACATTTTATATCTTTTTATCTAGCGTATCCCTTAACTGATTATTGTAGTTAATTTTACTACTCTTGTCTTTTAACCTTCATCCTACCTTTTATGAGTAATTAATCCATTCCACCTTTACCATATGTTTACCTTTACCAGTGAGATTTATACTTTTTTAATTAGTGCCCTTTACAGCTTAAAAAAGTTCCTTTAACATTTCTTGTGAGGCTGGTTTATTTGTAATAAACTTGTTTAGTTTTTGCTTTTCCAGAAAACTCTTTCTCTCTCCTTCAATTCTAAATGAAAACTTTCCAGGGCAGAGTATTCTTGGTTGGAGATTGTTTTCTTTGAGCACTTTGAATGTATCCTGATCTCCCCTTTCTGGCCTACAAGGTTTGTGCCAAAAAAAATCTGATAGCCTCAGCAGATATATAACAAGTGCTTTTTCTCTTGCTACTTTTAAGACCTCTTTACCTTTGACTTTTGATATTTTAATTATGTCTTGCAGAAGTCTCATTAAGATCATCTAATTTGGAACTGTCTGGGCTTCCTGGATCTGGATGTCTGTTTCCTTCCCCAGGTTAGGGAAGTTTTCAGCTATTAGGTCTTCAAGTTGTCTGTGCTTTTCTCTATCCTCTCCTTCTGGAACACCTGATGCAAAAGTTAGTCTGCTTGAGGTTGCCCCTTTAAGTCCCTTGAGCTTTCCTCACTTTTTTCATTCTTTTTGCAGCTCTGATTGGGTGAGTTACACTGTTCTGTCATCAAGTTCACCAATCTCTTCTGCTTCATCTAACCTGCTGTTGAACATCACTAGTTTTTCAGCCAGATATTATATTCTTTGGCACTGTAACTTCTATTTGATACTTTCTTATATTTTCTGTTTCTTTGTTAAAGTTCTCACTGGGTTCATCCATTGTTATCCTGAGTTGAATGAGCATCTTTATGACCATTACTTTGAATGTTCTATCAGGTAAATTACTTACCTCCACTTCATTAAGGCTTTTTTGTCAGGTTTTATCTTGTTCTTTGATTAGGAACATATTCTTTTGTTCCTTTATTTTGTTTGACCCTGTTTGCTTCTATGTATTAGATGAAACAGCCACCTCTCCCACTCGTGAAAGAGTGGCCTCATGCACATGACCCTTTATCATTCAACCTTGCCTTAGCTGTTGCTTGTCTTTTGAAACTTTGTGATTACCAAAGAAGCCTATTCTTTAATAGCTCCCAATTGTTGAGGGTGTGCCAAGACCTGTCAGCACCTAGACTGAGACTGACTGGAAGCCAAACCATCAGGCAGCAGCTTTTAAAGAATGCAAATATAACTGGTCTTGCAAGACCACAAGCATGAGCCCTGCTGGCCACCAGACCAGGCAATCTAGAGGTGTCCCACTAGGCAACAGTTGAAAAAATCAGGGCTCCAGACAAGTGTATAAGCTTCCTTCTGGGAGATACCACAAGCTGCAGCAAGGCAGGAGAGCACAAAAAATGACATCGCTCAGCCTATGTTCCCTGGATCATAAAAATGGCACCCTTTTAAAGAAAAAAAAATCTGGAGTTAATATATAATATATAAATTATTTTAATATACATATTAAAAATCTGGGGGGGGGGGTGTGCGTGTGTGTGTATGGCACCTGCCAGCTTTGGGCACTAAAGTGCTGCCTTCTAGCTCCTCTATCCCTGGAGAGTATCTCAGTAGGCCTCTGCCTCACTGGCTCACACTTTATGATAAGCCAAATGACTCTCTTTTCTCATATAATGTGGTCACCTTTTGATTGGCTGCTTTTGCATTGGTCCCTAGACTGAGTGAGTCTGTGTGAGAATCCTCTAGAAGGTGTTTCTCAGATCACCATAGCCCTTGGGTATCATGGGCATGGGCTCTGGTGCTTTTCAAAGCCAGAAGTTTTGGGGGCTCTTCTCTCAGGTACAGATCTTAAAAGGTGGGATGCCTGATATGGGGTATGAACTTTTCACTTGGGAATTAGCTCCAGGTTTGTAGGTTCCCTTCTGATTGTGGGTCACAGTGCTGGTGGTGGAGTTTGTGGGGAGAATGGGTCTCACCCCTCCTGCATGCTTCCATGTGACCCTCTGCTTGTTTGCTAATGTGATAGAGCTGTTCAGGTGGTTTTCAGGTCTTTTTCAGAGGAAACTGTTCCAGAGTAGCTGTAGCTTTGGTGTGTCCATAGGAGGAGGAGAGTTCCTGATCTTCCTATATTGCCATCTTCTAGCACCTCTCCAAGTCTGATAAGTTTAATTGTCAAAATTTTTCTGCATTAATATTCCTAACTGGATATTTAGAAAGCTACTAATCTTTGCATTAATTTTTAAACTCACCTCTTTATTAAAAACCCCTACAGCAAATAGTTTTTCAGTTCATTCTTAGGTTTCCAGGAATATAACATCACCTGTAAGTAACAGTAACTTGGGTTCCTCCTTCCACTATTACTGCTTTATTCTCTTGTGTAACTGTACTAACACATCCAGAAAAATCTCTTACAGTTAATGAGAATAATAGATGTCTTTGCTACTCCAGACTTTAACTGCTTTGTGTGTTTCATTATTAAGACTGATGTTGCTGGTCTTTTCAGGTTAAGGACATATTCATGTATATTTACTCAGTATTTGAATCAGGAATAGATAGTGAATTTGATCATCAATTTCCTTTGGCTTCAATGAGTTTCCTTGAATTCCTGGAATAAAACTCATGAGGCCATAACACATTACTCATTTAATCTATGAGAATCTATTTATTAATATTTTAATTTATGATTTTTACAAGGATAGAACACTTACCTGATACTTTAATACATCTACATTATAATAAGAAGCAGCTGGATTTTGCTCTGATAGCTTCTTGAGGTAGACAGTAACAGCTTGCATGTTCATCCAAAAATCTTTTGTGTTAGAATCACACTGTGATGGATCACTGTATGCATAAGAAATATTTTTGTTATTTTATTTAACTTAGCTTCATCCTTTGCCTCTGTATTGTCATTTGGTGACCTGGGAAAGACTAGTAGAAATAAACCAAAAGGTGGGATGAGGGAAAACTAAGGGGGATAAAGAATAAAACATAGCAGAAACTTGTTTGAAAACTGAGGTAACAGAAGAGAAGGACTTAAGAAATACCATCACCAGCAAAAGCACAGAGCACAGAAGGCTGTTTAATCATAACTTTTGTATTGTCATCCAACTGAATTATTGCTTCAATGAAGCAGGAAAAATTTAACTTCACCTTCAAAACAAGAGTACACGAACCTGAACACAAGTTGAGCATTCGGAAGAATTTGCTCTAGTCTGCTGATGTGTTTCACCCTGAAACACAGCACAGCTGGAGATGGATTGCTAGTGAAGACTTTAATAATTCCACTCGGAAACGATATTGTCATGTCACCAGTGATCTTCACAATACACCTGAAATTAGGGATTTGGAAAATTTTAAGTGGTTTAAGTAAGGCGCTTTAATAATTAAACTCCAAACACAAATGTAAGAGTAAAGATCACATCTCTTCACTTGTTTAGAAAAACCACCCCCTGGCTGTCCCTTAAGGAGACTGCTTCCCTGGTAACACCATCCTCAGTTGGAGCTATTTTTCACTGAAACCCCACTAAATATAAGGCCTGAGTGGCAGTGGGAGAGGTCTTCCTAGCTCCTCATTGCCTCTTCCAACTCTATATTCCTACATCCTTCCTAAAAACCTCCAGCCTCCTATCTAACTCCATATACTACTTGCTACTCCATCCCTTTCAACACTGTTTGATTTTTCTGAAAATGTTAGCTCTTTGCCTGCTGTCAGTCTGTCTCTGTATCATTACTTCTATCACAATCTGTAGTGATTTCAATATCCACACAGATAATGCTCTTGATATTTTGGGCACCTAGTTCTCAGCCCCTTGTCTCCAAACAATCCTGTCTTCCAGCCTACTTCGGTCACACAGCAGCCCCTCCATAATCTTGATTTCAGCCTCCCCATTCCTCTATTGGCCACTTCCTCTTTTCCCAACTTAACTCTGTCTAGTACCACATCTCCAACAATTCTCATCAAAGCCTCCACAATCCATTGTTCCTACTACCTTTTCACTTCACTCATTCCTTCAAACCCTCCTTCCTCCTAGGATTTCCTGGTCTATCATGCAATTCTACCTCTTCTCATACCTTCCTTCTTCTCCAGTCTGAAATATTCCTTCCCTCTACTCGCAGCCATCGACTTTAAATTTTACTGAGGAAATAAAATCAGTAAAGAACTTCCTTACGGTCTCACAGGTGAACTCCTACTTGACTCTGTATCCATACCTTTCTTCCTGTTTCAAGAGATCAGTCTATGCACGTAAGGCCGATCTCACTGCTTCTGCACTGAAGCTCATCTGTTACATACCAGAGACTTCTCTAATGCAACTACCCTGTTTCCTGAAATTTCCTACCCAATTTTTTCCAAAAATATTGGATCTTCCCCATTAGTGTATAGACATGCTGAAATGTGTATCTTTAAAAAACTCACACTAAAATTAATAAAAACTTCCTCTGACTCTCTCATTTCTCTATCACTACACCTCTCTGCTTTCACTTAGAGCAAAACATCCTCAATTTTTCTATACTTGCTCCTTCCAAATACAGCTGTATCTGCATCATCTCCTACTCTTGTTTTAGTTTTTATGTTTTATATTTGAGGGAGACAGACAGAGCACGAGCAGGGGAGGGGCAGAGAGAGAGGGACACACAGAATCTGAAGCAGGCTCCAGGCTCGGAACTGTCAGCACAGAGTCTGATGAGGGGCTCAAACTCAAGAGCAGGGAGATCATGACCTGAGCAGAAGTCAGATGCTTAACTGACTGAGCCACCCACATGCCCCCTCTTCTCCCACTCTTGAAAGCATGCTTAGAGGGAGTTCATCTCTACCACTTGACAAACTGCTCTTGTGAAGGTCACCAATGACCTCCATAATGTCAAAATTCAATTTTTCTTGACGAATCAGAAGCATCCGATACAGCTTCACGCTATCCTTCACAAAAGGGTTTTATTCACCTAGTTTTGGTACACTGCTCTTCTGATTCTCTCCTCACCTCTCTTGTTGCTTGCAGTTTCAAACTCCTTTACCCAATCATTTTGTCTTTCTGTTTTCTAACCACTGAAGGGAGCCACAATCCTCATCAGATCTCTTCCGAGGCCTTGTGGTTTTAAGTATCGTATACAAGTTAATGACTACTAAGTATTTCATCTCTAGCCTATGACCTAGGCCCTGAAATCCAGTATCAAGTATTCAGTTGTCTTTTTTTTTTTAGAGCGAGAAGGCACAAGTGAGCGAGAGGCAGAGGGAGAGAGAAGTGGGGCTTGAGCTCACCTGAAGCAGGGCTCAAGTCCCCCCAGTATGGGACTTAAACTCATGAACCAGGAGATCATGATGTGAGCCAAAGTCAAACGCTTAATGAGTGAGCCACCCAGGCACCCTGTATTCATTTGTTACCAACCGACTCCCTTAGCAAATCTTGACAACTCTGTTTTCAAAATGAATTCAATATCTCACTATTACTCATGACTTCCTCAGTTAATAACCTTATATAGGCCACCATCATCTCTCACCTGGACTGCTGCAGTTAACCTTCTCTCTCTCTGCTTGTACTCTGGCTCATTCTAGTTTATTTTCCATATGGCAGCCAGAGTATTCCTTCAAAACACTTATAAGTAACTTTCTCTGCTCAAAGACCTTCACTGGTTCCCACCCTGCTCAGAATAAACTCCACACTCTTTACCATGGTCTCTAATTCCCAACCTGATCTGGCCCCTCAAAGGACTCCTTTTTGACCACTCCCCTCCTTGCTAACTCCAACTTAGTGACATATTTCTCTTTCCTTTGAATATGTCAAGCACGCTTCTACCTCAGTCTTTTACAATCACTGGAATGCTCTTCCCTCAGACATCTGCATGGTTGGCTCCTCAATGTCTTTGAAATATCTGCTTAAACTTAACATCAGAAACGCTTTCTCAGGGCGCCTGTGTGGTTAAGTGGGTTAAGAGCCTGACTTTGGCTCAGGTCACAATTTCTCAGTTCATGAATTCGAGCCCCACATCAGGCTCACTACTGTCAGTGCAGAGCCTGCTTCGGATCCTCTGTACCCTGTCTCTCTCTGTCCATCCCATGCTCGTGTTCTCTCAAAAATATTTTTTTTCTAGGGGCACCTGGGTGGCTCAATAAGTTGAGCATCCGACTTCCACTCAGGTCATGATCTCACATTTCCTGAGTTTGAGCCCCGCGTCGGGCTCTGTGCTGACAGCTCAGGACCTGGTTCCTGCTTCAGATTCTGTGACTCCCTCTTTCTCTGCCCCTCCCCCCCCATACTCTGTCTCTCTCTCAAAAATAAAAAAACATTAACAAAAATTTAAAAATATATTTTTTCAAAAAGAAAGGCTTTCTCTGATCATAAAAAGAAAAAAAAAATTAGTTTGGTGCCTGGGTGGCTCAGTCCATTAAGCTTGACTCTTGATTTTGGCACAGGACATGATCTCACAGTTTGTAGGTTCAAGTCCTGTGTCGGGCTCTGTGCTGACAATGTGGAGACTGCTTGGGATTCTCTCTCCCTCTCTCTCTCTGCTCCTCCCCTGCTCATGCACACTCTATCTAAATAAACTGGGGGTGGGGGGGGGATGCCCACCAAAACACTTTCTTAAAAGAAGGAGGTTAAACCAATTCTACAAGAGTCTCATAAATGAAACATACATTTTAGGTCTCTCCTGCAAACATTACACATTCCCCAAAGATACACATTAAGCCAATATTCAAAGTTCTATCCCACTTTTAGGTCAGCTGCCATCATCCCGATCTTACAGATATATCACACAGCAGATGGCGCACAAAGCTTGGGCAAGAATGTAAACAAACTGGGGAGAAAAGCCATCACCACTGCTGATTATAGTGATTTGTTTTGTTTTGTTTTGTTTGGAAAGACAATTGCTAAATGACTATATTTGATAGCAAAAAAAACCAAAAAAACAAAAAACCAGGTAAATAAATAGAAAACTCTAACCTATAGAGAATCAAAATGTAACTCTGCAAATATATTACCAAGCCCCATCCCCACCAAACACACACACTTTTTTAAAACTAACTTGGTAGGGTCTGCTCCTTTAAAGTAGGCATTAACAGATTCTGTAAGGGCAACTGCCACAGGTAAGGTGTCCTGATTTCCAAGGCTGACAGGGCTGGGACCTCGTGACACACCTAGAATACATATGCAATTTATTTGTTAAATCCTATAGAAAGAGCTTTATAAAATATCAAGACAGGTAAAGTCACAAGGTTAGCTTGTCACAAATGACTCTATTATTGGTTCCATTGATGGCCCAGGTATACATCTGGAGGTTAAAAAATAGGGCAGAAAACAAATTGAAACATAATACAGAGGACAAAAAAAATCACGAAAACATGTTTTACTGACTTTTCTTTTAAATGAAATGACACTAAACGCTTGGGTTAAGGAGTGTCAGAAGGAAAAAGCCCTTCACCTGAAGAACAAAACTACTAAAATATGTTTTCACAACCATTCAGATGCTAAATTGTTTCAAGTTCTACCACTCAAATACTTCAGGGCATTAAGCTGGATTTTTGTGTTTCAGCTATTTCCATCCGTCAGCTATTTCTAACTGAATAACATAATGTTTCGGACACTACTCACTAGAATTCTTTTACCTCTTTGTCTAATGCATACATTATATTCCCATATATTCCCATTATCTTGATAAACAGGACAAATAATGTTAATTTTAAACGTTCCTGACACAAAGTTCACTTAAATAATATAAAGATCAGTTATTTTAAAGCATAATAAAATGTAAACAAATTTAATCTATGCATGTATTCAGGTTTTTTTAACCTAAGCAAACTTTCTAGTTTATTTCATTATAGAAAAATCCCTCAAAGCAGTTCATTGTCTTTCTTGACAAATGTACTCTTCCCACTGTTCTCATGTGGTAAGGTTACCACAATGGCTACTGACTGGAAAGTGGAGCATTTTATTTAATATACAATAAATGATGCAATTTTATATTTTTAAAAAGGCCAATAGCATAGATTATTCAGATTTTCTCATAAAAATAAATAATCTAGGTCAACGTAGCTCTGAAATTTGAATGTATGCTTTTCTATAAATATTACACAATGCTCATAGCCACCTTCTATTTCAGCTAAGATTACCTATAGTGAAAGGGTGAGTTACTTTTGAAATACCTAAGATACTAAGCCTGACAAAAATCAGTACTAGTTCTCTCTGCCTCACAAGTAAGCCCGAGATTCTACACACAGTGAGAAAAAGCTTTTGTTAGCTGTAAAGGCCAGGAAGATTTTGTGGTATTTAATATTTTGAAGAATTCTGACTTGGAAGGTTCTTCACAATTAGAAAAATAGCTCAGGGATTAAAAGTACATGGAAACAAGAACTGCTGCGAGGCCAAAGGGAAGAGTAAGTGCTCCTTCTGACTGCAAAAAAACTTAAAATTTCATACGAAAATTTAAAACTCAATAAATATAAAAATTTACTCAGAAAATCACAACAGCTACTATATACTAATTCCAACAAATGTCTAGTACTGAGCTAAGGAGGCATGAAAAAAATGCTGTCTTTTGGAGCCACGAGTAGTTTTGCAAAGCGGGAACATACTTAGTGGGTAAGGGATGGCTGGAAAGATGAGATGACATGAAAATCTGTCTAGAGAAATGTTTAAGGCCCAGATCATAGCACAGGGGACATTTAATTTTATCTCTGTGGCACTAAAAACTACTAAAAATGTTCAAGAGAAACATGGTTACATTTTTCATTTCGTGAGATCACTCTGAACACAGTGGATCCTAGAATGAAGAGAAAAATGTCTGTTGTCAGGGATTCAAATTTGGATCAGGGGACAGATGATGAAGTGAAAGATAAGGGGCTGACCAAGAGGCAGAAGACTCATGTATATGCATAAGAAAATGTTAAGTGAAAAAAGCAGACTAAGTAGAGATTAACTGAATATATCTATGCTGACACATGTTTGCACAATGGGAAAATTTCACTGTATGTGTGAATTAGTTCAGTGAATTTTTTAAAAAAATATATTGTTCTATATAGAGACTCACTAGAAAATCATAAAAGCATATGTTTTCTAGGGGAAGATGAAAGCTATAATACTCTTTATTAAAGAAAACTATATTCTCAATTATGAAATTAACCTTTCCCCTTAAACCACCTACGATAAATGGATATTTACACACAGTCATGGGTAACACTAATATCTGCTTCTACTGTGACATTAAAAATCAAAAGAAGCCTACATGTTACGGTTTTCACTTATCCAACTGGGCATATAAAATGAGAATTCTTGAAATAATCCGTATGAATTGTTAAGCCCATTACTGAAATACTGGCAAGAAGAAAAAAACTCAAAATCCACTTAATAATTTTGGCATATGTCCTTGCGTATTTTCTATTCTTGTTTTCAAGATTATATTGCACATACATAGTTCAAAAAAATGTTTGCATATTTCCTGTATCGAGTCCTTAAACTAAGTATAAAAGTCTAAATTTTTAATGTATTATTCCAAATACATAATTTCTTAGAAATAAAAAATCACCTGTATTTATAAGGATATTATGTGTTCTAATTTTGGTTTAATTGTTCTACATTTAAACAACCGTATGTTCTGAAAATGCAGAGCTTATAAAGTTGAAGAAACAGGTACCTTCCTGTAATAATCAGTGGATATTTTTGGAGAATTATTTACAGCCAGGAGTTAAAAACACTCCCAACTATTTGATACCTTTTTGCCTCTAACTTCACCTCACTATATGGATGGCTTTCCTAGGAGAGCCTTTGCTCTGGTAAGTTAGGTATTTAAACTAACATAGTCTTTCTGCTGCTTTTCTAACCACTTTTTCTCTGATTCTGACAACTTTACGGGTAAGATTTATGGACATTTCTTAATGTTGAGAAGGAAAAAAAAGCAAGGAGATGAAGAAAATGCAAAAATACTGTTTTTATAATTGGGGATTTGATATCAATAAATCCTATACAGCAACTGGACATAATTAGTACAAACTGAGAAAGTTAAACCTTAGAGTTATTCTTGACTTCTGAGACACCATACATTGCTGAAAAAGGAAAAAAATGAGATAACAAAGTATTTTAGATACACTTTAGGATCATTAGTCAACACACATATATTGCTTTTGATACAATACCTTGTGAAGTCTCACAGTGCTTTTCAATTTCAGAGAGTGTCCCAATCAAATTATCATCTTCTATCATATTTAAATAAAACAAAATATTGTAGGAAAAGAAAATATTTGCAAGAAATAAGAAGGATCAAAAACTTACAGAGAGCTGAATAAGCATCATAATTTTAAAAAAGGGAACTTTTATGGTAGATTTAAAGTATCTTTGTTGCACAAGATCCACATTATATCCAGCCTGCCTGTTTCCTCCCTCACCTGTGGTTCTACTATTGCCTGCCCTGGCCCAGACTAAAAACAAGTATGTACCTACTCAATCAAAAATATATTCTATTAAATTCAAATCCCTTTAAATAATTTAGAGAAAATGGGGACCTAAAGCTAATTCTGTTTACTCAGACCACATGTCTACTTCTAAAAAGATTCATCTATGTTTTTTATGACTAAAATACAGAGTTTGCAAAAACCAAAATTAACAAAATCACATATACAAACAAAACACAAGAATAAAGTGCTCATTATAGCTTTTTTGTTATACTAACAGTGGGTGAGAAAAGTAATAAGAATTTGTAGAAATTAGATAAAAGTGAAGATAAAAAAATGTCTTGAGCAAAATCTAGATGTAATAAAATACTGGACTTACTTGCTAGGGTTTAGGTTTATATACCTATGTCCTAATATCTACTACTTTTAAATATTTAGGTTTAGGTTTATATACCTATGTCCTGATATCTACTACTTTTAAATCCTGAGGATTTAAATTCTTATAGAAATATATAATTGCAAGCACAAAACTCCTTCCTTAAATTGAATCGTTATTAAAAGCTCTTAGGAGTGTAAGCATCACTTCACATTAGAAAGGCCTGCATTATATACAGCCTTCAATTATTTATACTGGTCAGTAGTTTATAAATTTGATGCATTCTTAACAGTGTTAGAAAATTCTCCTATTCAGATAGGGAAAATGTGGCTAGTTTGACAATGCCAGGTGTGTCTACAGAAAACTGAAGTTTCTTAATGTTAAATTTTTCACGAGCTCATTAAAAAACAAAATTCAGCCTGATCATACTTTGGATGCTAACTTTCACATATAATCTATGATAATCACTTACCTACTGTTGGAGTATTGGCAGCACTTAATGAAGCCGAAGAGGAGATAGAGGAAGAACTTTCCGCCCGGGCTAAAGGAGCTGCAGGAGGTGGGCTGGTATTGGAAGTTACAGGTGGGCTGAATGGCCTGGGCTTAAAAACAAAAAGTTATTTACCAGAATGGTAAAACCATTCCTCTGTTATTAGAAAAGATATTTAGGTATGTTAAGATTAATTTTAATATAATCAACCAAATTTATTTTAACTAAAAAGTTAAAAGAGTTAAAAGTGTTTCTTTTAACTAAAAATAGAGATGGCATAAGTCAAATCATTTTCAAGAATATGTTAAAGGCGGAGAAGGCTATTTTAAAATAATGCTGTCAAGAGAACCTTTATACATTAAACATTTTCTCTATTTCAATAAGTATACTTAAGACAGAGTTTCAGAGGTTAAATTATAAGCTTAAACACCATGAAGGCTTTTCTTTCATACATACTGCCAAACTGCTTCCCAAAAGGATTATTCACTTTACTCCCTATAAATAGAATATTTCTCTGCACCTTTGTCAGCAATGAATGGATGAGCCTTAGATGGAAAAATAATTTTAAAATAGATAAAAATAAGATGGGCATTTTACCTTTTAGGAGTTGTCTTTGTTGGCTTTGTCTAATTTAGTTTCGGGGGAGCTTAATATTACCTGAGCTTTCACTAACCCTTTGCTTTATCTGCTGCAAACACTTTGTCCCTAAATCTTGCTCGCCCTTTATTTTTTGGTGTTTACAAATCTGTCCACATTTGCCTTTATAATTCCTTGTAACACTTTCTCATTGAGACAGTTCACTCAAAAAAGACGTTTGAGGAAATCTTAATTCTATTGCCTTCCCACTTTTCTAAACATAAAAATACATATGAAAATTTGAACTTCTGTTCATTTCTTTTACTTGGGTGAATCGATTTTTTCCTTCCACATTCCTAAGTGTTCCAATAATACATGAGCAACACTTCCTAAAGGGTTTCATTTTTTTAAATAAGGCATATTTAACTTAGTTAAAAATAACATTTTCCTGCTTGTGAAAGTATTACGTAAATGAATATAATACTTATTCATTGCCTACTATGTGTCACTATGGGTCAAGCCATGGGTTAGATACACTAGATACAAAGCAGTGAACAAGAAAGATCCTGTTCCTGTCTTCAATTATTTGAGGAATATGAAAAACTAAAGACAAAAAAAACAAAAACAAAACACCCTATAAGCACTCCTACACTAAAATTAGTCAACTCTCTATTGTATGAATATAAATTTACAGATAGACACATAAAAATTAGGTACCATCCAAAGTGTTTTATACGAAGTAACCTCCCACTCCCTCAATTAACTATTTTTGAACTATTAGTTCCAGAGAATAGCTTTTTGATGACTGATTATAATAACTACTAGATTTAAAAAATATAGCAAGGCATAAAAATGCAGCTCTGTATACAGATGGAAGTGGTGCAAGGCATGAAGTCAAACACATATTAAACTCAACAGCTATGTGAAATCTATAAGCTTAGAAAAAATCTTGACCATGTACTGTAGGAGAAATTTCTCCTGTAGCAACATGGCCTCATGACCATACCATGTGGCTACATTTTTACAATTTACAGTTTAGAATGCACATTTTATAACTTTCTAGGAAAAGACAAAAACAGCTCTTAAGTGGTTTTCTGATTTTGGAATGGCACTGTCCAGTACAGTAGCCACAGCACTTGAAATGTGGCTAGTTCAAATTTGAGATGAGTTCTAAGTATAAAACAGACAGATTTTGAAGACTTAGCACACACAGAAAAGAAACTCTCCATCTTTATAGTGATTACACTGTAAAATTTTTTTTTAATATACTGACTAAAATCAGTTAATTTTACTGTTTTTAATGTGGCTACTAGAAAAACTTCAGTATCTGCTGTGTTATATTTCTGTTGAACAGCACTACTTAAAAACAGCAGTTCTTAAACATGCATCAGAATCACTTGGAGGGCCACTTCCCAGAATTTCTGATTTGTCTGGGATGGAGACAGACAAACTACATTTCTCCCAATCCTAGGTGATGGTAATGCTGCTAGTCTGGGGACCAAACTTTGAAAACCACTGCTCTAAACAATGAGGCAATCCCAACAGGCATGCGAAAAGGGTGTGTGATTATACACCCTTTGAGCATCTAGTGAAAGGTAGGTGCCCTCTCCCCAAAAAAGTGCACATCCAAGCAGGCAAGGAAAAGGGCACTTCGATGTACAGCTGGAGAGAATTAAAATCAGCATAAACTTTCTGGTGGGCAATACAGTAATAATCATCAAGAGTCTTAAAAAAGGTGCATACCCTTTAGTTCATGAATTTCACTTTAAAATTTACTAAACATAAAGTCTGCGAAGAACAAAAGGATATTAAGACATTGTTTATAATGAAATCATTAAGACAGTGCTGAATGAAAACTTGGAAATAAACTAAATGTCAAATCACGTCTCTAAAAACCTTTGGAAATTTAATGCTGACAGTGGTGTTACAAGATATAGCATTTATGCTCTGCAGCTGTTTCAAATGGTGCTCCCTGAAGCCCTCAAAGGGTGGTTTCTAGAAGGCTCTCAAGGCTGCGGTGGGAGTAAAGGATGAAAGATTCAAGTATAAAAGTCCCAATTTTACTTATTTAATACACTTGCAACTTAAGATTATTTGACAAAAGATTCTACCACTTGAAATAAGTTTGAAATCTAAAGAGTAATTCATGAAATTGAAAGGTGTTCCCAAAATATTTTCAAGTGAAGAATAAAAAGTATGTTTGACATTAAAAATGTACACATATCATTCACAGTAACTTTTCTGAGCAATTACTTCCACTCCACAATGTTCTAAGTATCTAACACACAGTAACTCACTGAAGTCTCATACCACCTGTTATCTTTATACTTCTTTACCTATAAGGAAATAAGAGACTCCAAGTACATAACTTGACTAATGTCGCTCAGGTTAACTATTGACTAATAAGCTTGTGCTTTTAACAACTATATTTTACTGAGTCTGAATATTTAAGCACTCAAAACTTAATGAAAGGATATATATAAAAGTGTTAACTGCATATCTTTGAGTCATGAAATATGGAAGGGATTTTAATTATGTTTTCTCTATTTCCCAAATTTCACATGATCATGTACTGCTTTTGTAATCAGGAAAAAATCCCATGTTATTAAGAGGTAGTCATTTTTATATTCTATGAAAAATAATTATCTCCTTACCAGCTTGTATCTAGTCTTTGATCTCATTTCCTTAAGTCTGTTCGTTAGGGTAACAAAAGAAAGGTCACTATTTCAGCACTTGGTGCTCAAGCCTTTTAGATTTTTCATCAAACATCTCCTATGTGACAGGCATTATGCAAAGTACAAACGTGGCAAAGGCATAGTCCAGTGAGGGGAACACACACAAAGAAAGTATATACAATGTAATTTGTGCACTAAGAGAAATATGAGCAAAGTACTTGGGTGGGTATAAGGAAGAGAGTGATTAAATCCACTTGGGGAGAAGTAATGATCAAAGAGGGATTTAGCTAGATGGTATTTAGCTGGATCTTAAAAAAAAAAAAAAAAAAAGAGGGCAGTTTCCTATATAAACAACTGAGGGGCATTTCCGTAAAGGCTGCAAAGTAAGACGTGGATACATAAAAGAGCATGATGTGTTTGGGGAACAGTGGAAAGTTTCAAATGGCTAGAACGTTAAGTTGCAAAGAGGAGAAAGTTGGACAGTTAGTCTGGTAATAATGCAGGTTGTTGAGGCACCTTTTTAAAGAGCCTTGTACATTCAGCTAAAACATTCAACCACATGGACTACAGGCAACCAATGGAGAGGTCTATCTAGAGAAAAAGAAGATTAAGCTTGACTTTCAGAAATTTAATACTGGCAATTAGTGTAAAACATGACACACAGTAGGTAAGAAGCAAGAAAAAAAAAGTCTCTCTCTGAATATAACTCATACATTTTCTTTAGTTATCTGACAACCTTTGTAGACCAATGTTTTTTTCTTTAAGCAACATGTACTTTCACAAGCCAGTTAAGTAACATCACCTCCAGTCTCTTTATACATAAAATAAAGCTGGACTAGATTCCCTCCAGGATTCTCCTGGCAGTACACTTCTAAACCCTAGGAAAAGGTCACCATCTCTTCCATAATATTTGACTTACAGCAGAATTATATGAAAATTGCTTCTTAATTGTCAAAGAATGGGTACTAAATGGTTATTCTTATAATGTGCTAACTTTCTCAGGAAATCTCCTTTCTTCCCGAACAATGTCTTGCTCCATGTAACATGAGGAAGTAAAGGAAGTGTTGGCTACAAAAATTTTCCTATAATTTGAAGACTCAAGTAGATAATTTCAAGCATTTAATGGTAAAGGGGTATATAGAAAACTATTTGCATCTTAAATCAAACAGTTATAATTAAAAAAAAAAAAAACCTGAGTACATACTATTTCATTAATCCCACTGAGTTTGCCTGAAGTAAGCTTTGGTCTGGAAGCAGGCCTTGGAGGTGGGACAATGGTGCCTACAGAAAGAGGAGTTGTGGGCCTGGCTGGTAGGGGGAAAAAGAGAATTTGAAGAAAACCATTAGTATGTAACAAACCTTACATAAATACATTCTATTATAGAGGAATTCTTAGGACTCAAAGCTAATTTTTCAGGAGTTTTGTAATATACATATTATATACCTATAATATAATTATAGATACTTGTTGAAATACTGGAAGTCTATCAAATATGCTTTTCTTGAAGCTAACAATATTCCTAAAAAACAAAACATTAACTTTTCAGTAGAATTGACACACAATATAAAGTGTATTCCTGTTTCAATTCTTTACACCTATAAAAAGATAAAATGATAAATTAGCTAGTAAAAATACACCAATTTCAGGCCTAAGGTCTTTAGTTTATTGCCAATACATCTACTTACAGAAATGCAAGACCAAGCCTTTGAAGCAACGCCTTCACATGAACTCTAAATAAAACACTTACCTTAATTAAACTTAAAGGTCAAATTACAAGTTGAACTACACTGTAAAGTTTCTGGTGATAATTAAAAGTATTAAAAATACCTTACTTATGAAAAAATTCCTGTTCCTAAATCCTACATAAATTTAATGTTCACTGTTTTTCAATGCCATTTACAAATTTTGCCATTTTATAAATCAGATACTAACCAGAGTAATTCTAATTAAAAATAACTCCATCGTAGTAGAAATTAATGAAATTCAAGTGTACATCATCACAATTCACAAATGTATTAGCATAACCAAAACGAAAGTGAAGAATGGAAGCTGATATGTTTAAATCATGGTATTTTAAATGATTTTCAAATCCCTTTGCTTCAATCTAAAAGATGGGACTGTAATTCAAACTGAAGAAGAGAATATGGATGGGAAGAATATAATTCATTAAGTTTGCAGATGTGCAAAGTTAAAAATGTATGAATGGGCCTAAGTATATCCATGGAGAAGCAAAAGGCTGAGGATCCATGGTCACTGTCAGAGGAATGCAGGTGTGAAAGGAAGGAGAATAGAGGTGACAGGAAAAGAGCTAAAGAAAAAGGTAGTCAGGAGTGAAAGTAAAGGCATGAGGGGTATGGAATCATTCAGAAAGCACATACAATGAAGGGATAATAGATACAAGCATAGTTCAAGCTGCTTGAAGAAAACAATAAAAAGCTGCTAAGAACCCCTATGTAGATCCCAAGGCTGTTGCCTTCTTCCAGTGAACACTACTTTTTTTTTAATGTTTTTTTTAAATTTATTTTTTAATTTATTTTTGAGACAGAGAGACAGAGCATGAGCAGGGGAGGAGCAGAGAGAGAGGGAGACAATCTGAAACAGGCTGCAGGCTCTGAGCTGTCAGAGCAGAGCCTGACGTGGGGCTCGAACTCACGGACTGTGAGATCATGACCTGAGCCGAAGTCGGAGGCTCAACCGACTGAGCCACCCAGGTGCCCCATGACATACTTACTTTAAAGACAGGTTCGTTATCAATGAAACCAGCACTCATCACTACTCAAGGCATTTCAAGCCTATGAGAATGTAACATAGTAGAGATAGGTATGTATACCTGAGCTTCATCACTGACAAATGGATTGTCAATGTATTAAGACTGACTCAAACCAAGCCTGGTAGTACTGTTAACATTCAGCTCTTTTAAATAACCACAATTTGCTTTTTCAAAGTCCAAAAACATGCTGGTTTCAAGGAAAGATTCAATTACCATACACTCAAATCAGTGGGAGACAAAGAGTTTGTGTTGCGTTCTTTCTAAGTTCAGTGGAAGAAGGAGAAAGCAGTTGAAAACCAGAAGCAACAGGAAAATTCTAGAACAAAAATATGAATCTACATAGCCAAATAGTTTTCTCATTTCAGGTTAATGTTATTTTAGTCCCTCAAAACTAGAAAAATATAGTAATACAGGAAGAAAAGCAGGAGCTCAAACTTTCTATTAACCGAGGAAATTAAGTATGAGCATAAGAAACTTAAAGAACATAAGAGTAAAACTCAAGGTCAAAAATATATAAAGCCACAATTATTCCTGTTTGCCCAGAGAAGTAAAAGGTAACTCTTAACAGCTGGTAAAAGTATAAATATTTATATATAAACAAACCCCTCCTCTGATAAACCTTACTATAGACTATGTCTTCTCTGCCTGTAGATTAAATGAGCTCTGGTGCTCAGCAAAAATCCCTGAAAATAAGGTTTTGAAAAATATTATGCTTTTTTTTTTTAAGGCTGGTTTTCTTGTATTAACTCCAAAACTGATTTAGTCTGTCTTACCTCCTAACATGTTGGGAGTTTTACTACTAGCCAGTTAGGCACTTGTTGCGTAACACAGCACTATCACCTTTACACCTTTTTAGACTTGTATCATCATCTCTTTTCAACACGACTAACATTCCCTGAAAGGCAAAGTAATTTGATATCATTTTTCAGACTATATAGAAAGGTTTAAAAATGCATATGAAAGTGAACTTAAAAAGTAGCAAACGGTTAATAAATGTTTTATTTCCTAGCTACTGCACATCAAATGGCCACTAAATGAAAATGAATCCTTTTTGTCTGAAATTAAAAGTGATAGGGGTGAAACATTCTTCAGACAGTTAGCAAGAGGAAAAGAGAACTTTTTTGAAAAGTAAGAAACTGTGTTAAAGAAAAAGAGAGGGGTGCCTGGGTGGCTCAGTCGCTTGAGCGTCTGACTTTGGCTCAGGTCATGATCTCGCTGTCTGTGAGTTCGAGCCTTGCATCGGGCTCTGTGCTGACAGTTCAGAGCCTGGAGCCTGCTTCGGATTCTGTGTCTCCTCTCTCTCTGCCCCTCCCCCACTCATGCTCTGTCACTCTGTCTCAGAAATAAACATTAAAAAAGTTTTTTTTAAAAAAAAGAGAAACTAAGGGCAGAGTTAGGAAGAAATTTCTGTATCACTAAAGCCTCTGATTTTCAATGTGAAAATTTTCATTAAGGATTCTGAAAAATAATTCATAACAGTGTATTAACAAAATTAAAATACACTACTTATGACCTTCTTCATTCTAAATACAAAACACCATTCTGACATTTTTACTAAACAAAAACAAGACCTAGGGGTGCCTGGGTGGCTCAGTCGGTTAAGTGTCCGACTTTGGCTCCAGTCATGATCTCATGGTTCGTGAGTTCGAGCCCCGTGTCGGGCTCTGTGCTGACAGCTCAGAGCCTGGAGCCTGTTTCAGATTCTGTGTCTCCCTCTCTCTCTGACCCTCCCCTGTTCATGCTCTGTCTCTCTCTGTCTCAAAAATAAATAAACATTAATAAATAAATAAATAAATAAATAAATAAACAAAAAAGAGACCTTCATGACAACTTCAGTTTTGCCTGTACAATTAACCTTCCTTATATAATCTATTAAGTTAGTTTTATAAAACTACTAACAAGCCCACTGAGGAAGGCTGTAATGCCACTTCAGAATATGTTCAACTGTCTTTTGTTGTTTCTTGCTATTTTACAAAGTATTAGATACAGAGCACTTTCCCTTCAAAATTCCAAATTGGAGTTAAGGTTGCCTAAAATCTACAATTTCTTTTAAAAATTGGTTTATAAATAATCTAATTTTAAATACTAGTGTTTATTTCATTAGTAGTAAAATGATTCAGCATGGATTATTGTTTAGTTAATATGTCAGAGTGCAATGAACAAAGACTTTCTAATTATAAGATCCAGATTTGATCAGATGCTTCATCATTTCCAATTTATATGCTCTTACAGAAGTTCCTGATCATCTTCGAGCTTTACGTTTTTTCATCTACAAAACAGGGACAATAAAATGGACTTCATGGAGCAGTTAATGAACTTAAATAGACGATATGCAGCTCCTAGCAGAGCAACATGACAGGAACTCAGTCAATTCAAGTTCTTTCCAACCATTCTACCACTCTCCTAACCTCAAATACTGAATGGCATTTCTGAAATCCCAGAGAAGGCAGAACATCAACTTAAAGTGAATTTTGTTTTATTTTTTTGCTTTGAACAAGCAGTGATTTTATTCAACAAGCATTTGGATGCTTGCTTTGACTGTTGGCTAATCGGATTTTATATTCTGAAGAAAAGAGAACACATTCTTGTCAAAACACCAACTAAAAAGCATTCATCAAGTTCTTTTATATATTGCTTGGGAAGCACTAACACCTTTCTGGAAAGCAGTTTGGCAATAAATATCAATGGGTATATCTTGGGATTCAAACGTTGTACTGATAAATTATAAGGATATTATGAAACATGTACACAAAATGTGTTCTACTCATGGATGTTCACAACACTAGAAAATTGGATGCAATTCAAATGTCCAATAAAAAAGGACTGGTTACATTAATGCACATTCATGCAGTGGAATTATCTATAAACATGTTGTGGGGTGCCTGAATGGCTCCGTGGTTGGAGCACGCAAGTCTTAATCTTGGGGTTGTGGATTTGAGCCCCATGCTGGAAGTAGAGATTACTTAAGAAAATAAAATATTGGGAAAAAAAATTATTTGGGCACAGATAAGGGAATGATGCATAGAAATAAATACATGAATGAAAAAAAAAACTGGTTTGATGTATTTTTGTTTAAGCCGTAGGGTCTTTCAGCTAAGTTAAGAGAACCAGTACAAAATCACTTTTACCTGGCAATATGCGAGGACAAGTTAAAAATATTTTTGATTGTTAAGAACAACACACAAGTAATGAACAAATCAATTAGGAAAAAAGTAACTAATGCATTCCTCACTTTAAATATATATATATACACATATATATTTATATACATTTACCTGATGATGATGACGAAGTTAGTGAAGTAGAAGATGATGAATCAAGAGATGGTCCAAACAGGGGATCCCAAGCAAGTAAATCGCTGGTCCCCTTCCTACCATAACATTTAAAAAACAGATTTAATTAAGGAATATTTTATTAGTATAAAATCTAGTCACTTATTTTTTAGATCACAGAATTGGAATAGCTAAATACATATGATTTAAAAGTTGGGCATTCTACCAATGGAATATGTGAGGAAAGTTTAAATTTAAATTTTATATTAATAAATAATTCGTTAACTGCTATAAGCAGACCCTCCAATAACATTATGTGAAATCGCTAGGGTGGAATAGAGAAGATTAATTCCCATCAATCACACCTTGTTATACTCTAGCAATCTTTGGGGTTCTAACAGAAATCATTTCAGTTTTACAAGAAAAGCAATAAAAGGGTCTAAAACAGCTGCCTACGGACAGAAAGGTACTAAATTAATCCTACAATAGTGTCCTAGCCCCAAGTCATGGATAGAAAATTTCTTTAAGTGATAGGAAATCAGGTACAAATTTTATAAGTCATATTTAAGTACTTTTTAAAAAATCTTTAGGGGCGCCTGGGTGGCTCAGTCGCTTAAGCATCCAACTCTTGATATTGGTTCAGGTCATGACCTCATGGTTTGGTTCCTGAGTTCAAGTCCTGCATTGAGCTCTGAGATGACAGCACAGATTTCTTTCTCTCCCTTCCGTCCCCAAAAATAATTAAAAAAAATAACTATTTATCCTCTTCTTTCATCTTTGAAATTGTCAAGTACAGAAATAAGCCCAACAGCTTACTTGATATAACCCTGATATAACCTTCAAAGGCCTGATTGTTATAGTAGATCATGCAAGGGCAGGACTTCTCCCTGGGCAATCCACAGCCTGGGTCACTGAGGCAGTCTAGTGAGTCTAGTGAAATGTTTGGGTCACTCCGGTCTTTTTATGAAAGGTAACTAAGACTATGGACAAAAGCATCAAGAACACCAAAATTCAAGTTTCAAAAAAGTCAACATGCTGCATAACCAAAGATTTCCCTCTAGTGACCCCTTGGAATCCACTGGCCTAGTTACTCTCAAGATTGAACTTGCAGCTCTTTACTTTAATAAAAACTTTTAAATCAATGTTTCTTTTTTTTCATTTTAGTCATACACCTTTTAAGATGTCTCATCTCTAAGATCCTATAGTACCTGAACTTTGCCAGGTTTAAAAGTTTAAAAAACTTTTAAATTTTTTTTCTAGCTTTACAGAGATATGACTGACAAGTAAAAATTATATATAAGATGTAAAAAAAAAAAAATTAATCCCATTAAAACAGTATTTTAACGTATCAAACAGCCATTAATTTTTAACATTATGTTCTCACATCTTAGAAAACAGGCTCATTACAATAAAAATGGTACAGTTATCTATAAGCACATATCTAGTACCTCAACACGCACTTACATGGAAGCATACCACACCTTGTATTTAAAACCTAGGATCACAACTGCATAAATTACTGAAAACAAAATTTTAAAACACTGCACTTTACCTTTTAAAATGATAAATGAATACCACCACTGTGCTCAATTAATGCCTAACTTTAAAAGTATTAAATAATTTTAAACTCTCCATTTAATGAAGACTACTTTTACTTACACAAAAGAAAAAAAACATTAAAAGAATATATTCTTACTGACAGATAAAGAAATGAAAAAAAAAACACATGAAAGAAACACTGGCTTAAAGTATTTTTTCCTTTTTAAAAAGAGCTAGCAACATGGTTTCTAGCCCTCTCCTTTTTTAACTTGAGACATCTTCTTGTTGAAGTTCATTAAAAGTGCAGTATATTTTACAGGGTTACAGCCAATAATTGTAGGAAAAAAACGAGAAAATTTCCATGAGAATAACTAGTTAAAATACAGACATATATGAACTTGGGACACTACCATTTATTTAGAAGTAGTAAAGCCACCAAGGCCAAATACAGTTAAATGGATTTTTTTAAAAATTATAAAAAATAGGGTCAAGTGAGAAATAATTTAAAACAACCAGAAACCCCAAAGAACAATTCACAGCTTAGAGGATAAACAACACTGTACTCTAACTGAAACTGCAAAGATAGTAAAATTTTCTAAGAAAAAAGTATAAAAGAATGATATCTAAACACATTAAAGAGGGAAGGATGAATAGGTGGAGGGCACAGTTAAACTACTCTGTATGACACTATAATGTATGGAGACACACGTCCTTGACCATTTGTCAAAACTCATAGGACATACAAGACGAAGAGTGAATCTTAATGTAAACCACAGACTTTGAGTGACAATGATGTGTCAGGGTAGGCTCAAAAATTTTAACAAATGTTTCATTCTAATGGGGGATTATGATAGTGAAGGAGGCTGGGTATATGTAGGAGCAGAGAATATACATGCAAAAACTGTATCCTCACCTGAATTTTGTTATGAACCTAGAATTGCTCTAAATATAGTCTATTTAAAAATAAAAAAATGTGAAACTTACTCATTAGATCCAGCACATGGCTTCGATTTTGTTAGCTCTTCACCTAATTAAAATCAAAATATGAAACAATTCATAATCTGAGTAATAAAATACTTAAATGGAAAGAGACACTAATATATCTCATTACTATGAACAATTTAAAAATTATGGAATTGATAACATAAATCGAATTTTTTTAATTATGAAGAAAAGGAAAATAAGCATTTAGCAAGTTTTCTAACAGACTTAAGAATATCAAAATAATAACTGAACTCCTGCTATATCTTCATTTCTTTTAACACCTCTGGTAAGAAATTACTTAAGTCAACTAAACTGTCATATTCATGAAAATAAAATTGGTGTTCAGATGAAAAAAATATGGGCGAGAACTTTAAAAATTAGAACATATGTTCAAATACTTAAGTATTACTCAAAAATGATAAGTGATGAATCATGAAAGCATTTTTTCAAGCTGTAAGAATATTATTAATGATTATATTGACCAAAAGTAGTTAATTCTTGAAGGATGTCGTATCTCAAAAAATTAAAATTTTTATAGCACTCTAAAGCAACAGTCTTTATAAAATAGTCTGTTTTGCTCCCTTTTGCATTAGTAATGTGAACCATTTCATTAGCAACTATTATACAGAGGGGAAAGCATCAGTAATATGCAAAAGTCACGTTAGTTCATAAGCAAATTTCCCTGTACTTTGATGTCATGAATCACCAACGTGTAGTTGATGAATGCAAAATGTATCAACATAGGTAACTGCAGCAAACTACAAGGAATACCACACTGTATATGATGCCCCTTCATGTCACATTGTCCCATCTGGCTCAATGTGGCCCTTTTTTTGGCCTCAAAGTACTTACTGTGCTGTTCTCCTCCATGTTTCTACAATTTGCCCTTATCTCCATAACTCCATAAAAGGAGCCCACTTTTATCCTCATTTTCCCCACATCCCCTATCATTAAGCTACTCACCATTTTTTTTTAAAGTAAAATCCTACTTTTAGTTTGATATAATGCATTTAACAGGTCTTTTTCATTGTGCTAGAATTTTTAATAGGATTGATGTTACGGTTTATATTAACCATTTTGTTTACAAATTGCATAACTTTTGAGTAGGATGCCTTAACTCCATTTTTCTCACCTTTGTTATTTTAATGCATGACTCTGCATAAGATGTTAACAACCCCCTAAATTTTTTTAGTATAATTAAGTTACTATACTAAAAACCATGGAAGTAGGGTGGCTCCATAGCTCAGAGGTTAGAGCAATGGTCTTGTAAAAACCATGGAAGAGAAACTGCAATTGTGATAGGACAAATAAGTAAAGCTAAAGCTTACTCATTCTCATAGTCCCTTCTGGCTCATGAGGCTGAGTTATGTATGTTACATTCTCAAACAGAAGCTACTATTTGGCTTTGTTGATTTCTGAAAAATGTTGTAGCCAAGTATTAAATTTAAAGGCATGTCTAAATGCTAAAATAAATAGTATACTTAAGTTGTCTCCTGTTTAAAGTAAGTATCCATCTAGTCTGTTGCTAACAGTCATGATGAGAACAAAGCATTTATTTCTATAAATAAATATATATACATATATATATATATATATATGGCTACCATAAGCTCAGCAAACTGCCTGATAAATTTTAATAGATATAAAATAATCAATTTAAATGTCAAACTTACTAGATGAATTCCTATTCATCTGCACCTAAAAGAGAAAAGCAAAAACTAAAAGTTGTTAAACAAATAATTTAATTTGGTAATGAAATACTTCATAAAAATTTTTCTTAATATATTTTTTATTTTTTAAGTAGGCTCCACACCCAACACAGGGCTTGAACTCACAATGCAGAGCAAGAGTTGCATGCTCTGGCTGAGCCAGCCAGGAGCCTACTTCATAAAATATTACTGGGAACCTAACTTTAAGTTGTTTTCGGTATATCTGCTCAACTGTAAACTACATAAAAATTGTTAAAAATGCAGTATTTTTTATAGTAAAAGATAATACATGTATCTTTAACACTCATAAGTTTTAAAATATGAAAATGTTAGTACCTACAGCAAGATACTTTGATCTGCAAATTTAAAAAACTTAACACAAGTATTCTGAAAAACAATGTTCGAACATTAAAATGATTTTTTTAAGTCCATGGGTAATAATATAAAATCTTGCACTTACTGGGCTGTGTCTCTAGTAGTACATGGAAAGAAAAAGAAAGACATAGTGTACATTTTAGAATTTAAAAGAGCTTATTTTCTTGGTTTCATAATTGGTCTATTACCTTCTAAACCATACCTAAAAATCTATACACCTTAAAACACATGCAGAGCACTGTTTGGGGTAGGGGACATGAGCTAGATGAGCACACTGCTCAATAAAATATACTCAAAATATCCTCTTTTCAAACCCAATATTAACTATTAAACTGTTCTCATTATTATTTATTTTCTCAGTATGAAACTAGAATGTTCAGTTTTTTAAAAAATAGAAGAGAGAGAAAAGTACAAAGAAAATTTAAAACCACTAATGCTTTCACTAACAAGAGCAAGGTGCTTAACATTCTGGTATATATTCCTCTAGGCTTTTGTTTTATTTACACGTATTTTTAAAATTAGTTGTATTCTTATATAATAAAAATTTTTAGTCATTTCATAGCTTCCTACTTCATATATATGTGTGTAGATATATATGTATGTGTATACATATATGTATATATGTGTACATATTTATATCATAATTTAATTTGGGTGTTAATCTTAAGGTTAAATAGCAATGGGAGAATAAAACCTCACTTCAGAAATCAGTCTTTTTTGTACAAAAAAATAAATTCTAAAAGTGCATGACTGAGAGAAAAAAACTTTTTCCCAAATACAGACTTCTTAAAATATATAATAACAATATATAATAAAAAAATATGAAATGGGTAATACTTATTCTGTATTATCAAGGACAACAGGTATAATATCAGTTATGATGAGCATGTACAGATAAACTGTCATTCTAGGACATGCTTTTTTCTCATTGTTTAACATTCCTGAATTTAGACTATGACATCAATGGAAAGATTAGCTATGGTGATTTTTTTCTCCTCCAAAAGCTGTTAAATATGGGATCTTAGAATTGAGGAACTAACCATTATCACTAAGAATTCTTATATTTGCCTTTTTTTATAAAAAGTATGAAAAAACAAATATTGCAGTTGCAAAAGCATGCAGACACATAATGTTTAAATCCATTTTTACTGAATTCCTGTTCATATAAAGTTCATAAAATATGGATGAAAAACTTTAAAATTAGATGAGGAAAAGATTAATTAATACTGTCAGTTCAAATTTCTGAAACATACAGACTGGAAAATAAAATAAATGGCAGAAATAGATTTTCTACATTTTTGTTTCCCAGTAAAACTTTCAAAAGGAAACAAAACTAAGCCAAACTCAAATTCATTTGCCTATATAAAAATCAGACACTGGAGACCTCAATAAAACTGACGACAAATTATAAAATATCTCCTTATCCAATATGCTTAATTAACTATTCCTAATGATATTTTATTTTATTATTCCAAAAATTAAGCAGATTCAAGTAGATAAGGTTAAAAAAAAATAAGGCTTCTACATGAAGAGTACGAACTTGCTCTTATTCTTACTTACAGATATTGCTGGGGACAGTGTGATATTTCCTATAGATACTTTTAATTCATCCAAGGAAGCCATTGTGTGATGTGAGTTATTTGGATGCACAGGTTTGATTTCTATCCGATATTTCTTTGGTTCTTCATCTTCAGAATCAGAATCACTAGATGAGTAGAAATGGTTCTCTTTGGTATGTGAGTATCAGTTAAAGAATTCGGTTCTTAAGTGATCTTAATGCATAACCAGTTTTCATACATTTACAAAAAGGAATATAAAACCTTTAAGAGATAAGGTAGACTTTCACAGAAACAGAACTACTAACTCATTAGTAAAAACATGTCAAACTATTATGGAGTCACATTTTATTATAATTAAAAATTTGAAGTTTTTATTAAACAACAGATCATTTTGTTATAACTGTCTACTTATATGCTAACACAATCCATAGGAATATCCAAATGATGAAAGGATATCATTCTGATTTGCTTCTGGTTTTATACTATAGCCTTCTTCATCTACATCAGGAATGTTCTATGGGAAGAAAAATAAAAACTGTAATCATGGATCCTACTACAGAAATACAAAAGATTAGCAAAATAGCTTCAACTATTATAGGGGCTATGTCATTTATCAAATACCAACAGGCTCATACAATAATTAAGTGGAAAAGTTACATCTTTTTGGTTAAGTTAGCTTCAGATCACACTTTATGCTTCAGATGTCTGAAAGAGAAAAGCACTATAAAATTAAGTAAGAGAAGCACTAAAAGGAAGAGAATAGGTGTTTGAGCAGGAACACCAACAGTTCTGTAGATAACCAAATTTTCATCCCAGTCTTCAAAGTGGAAATGAGAGATGATGAAATCAGAGGGCTGACAGTCTCAATAAATGGAAATATTTATCAAAAATACAGAAAAAAACAGAAATTAAAGATGACCAAGAAAATTAAAACTATACTAAAATAATCATCTTACCCATGAGCCAGGCAAATTTCAAAAGCTTGAAAATATATTCTGTTGGCATAACTGTGGGAAAATGTACTCTTAGGCTTTGCTGGTATAAATAAAAAATAGTACAATCTCTAGAGAAAGAAATTTAGCATTATCTAACAAAAGTAGAAACATATTTACTCTCCCACCCAGGAATTCAATTTCTAAGAATTTACCCTGAAGATACACCTCCAACAATTTAAAAATATGTATATAACAGATCAAAGATGATCTGTAACTCAGAACTGCTGGAGAGCATCTAATGTCCAAGCATAGTTGAATAAACTACAGTACACACAGAAAAAAGAGTACTATATATCTATTAAAAAAATCAGAAGTTTCGGGGCGCCTGGGTGGCTCAGTCGGTTAAGCATCCGACTTCGGCTCAGGTCATGATCTCACAGTTCATGAGTTCAAGCCCATGCTGGGCTCTAAACTGAAAGTGTGGAGTCAGCTTGGAATTCTCTCTCACCTCTCTGCCCCTTCCCCAGCTCATGCACACTCTCTTTTAAAATAAATAAACTTTGGGGCGCCTGGGTGGCGCAGTCGGTTAAGCGTCCGACTTCAGCCAGGTCACGATCTCGCGGTCCGTGAGTTCGAGCCCCGCGTCAGGCTCTGGGCTGATGGCTCGGAGCCTGGAGCCTGTTTCCGATTCTGTGTCTCCCTCTCTCTCTGCCCCTCCCCCGTTCATGCTCTGTCTCTCTCTGTCCCAAAAATAAATAAAAACGTTGAAAAAAAAATTAAAAAAAAAAAAAATAAATAAACTTTAAAATAAAAAAATTAGGGCAGAACGACTGTCTTCTTGTTAGATAAAACCAGACTTCAGAAAGAAAATTACCAGGGTCAGAGGGGACATTGTGTCCATAGAAAAACCTGTACATGATTGTTCAAAGCACTTTTTTCTAATAGCGAAAAACTGGAAACAACTAAAGGTCCTATGATAGGTGAATGGTTAAAACAAATTTTAGTGCATCTATACCATGGAATACTACTATTTAACAACAAAAAGGAATAAACTATTCATACATGCAAGAACCTGGGTGGAACTCAAGAGAACTGTGCTGAATAAAAAAAAAAAATCTGAAAAGGTTATGGTAGGATTCCAATGTTATTTAAAACATTCTTGAATTGACAGAATTATAGAAATGGAGAAAAGATTATTGGTTGCCAGAGGCTAAGGAGGGTGGTGATGGAAGAAAAGTGGCTGTAAAAGGGCAATCAGCACAAAAGACCAAAAGATCCTTGTGGTCATGGAAATGCTCAGACTGCATTAATGTCATCATCCCAGTCATGATACTGTATTTCTGCAAGAAGTTATGAGGAGAAAACAGGTGAAAGGCACACGAGACTGCTCTATACTATCTTTGCAACTTGCTGTAAATTAATTCTTTCAAAATAAATTAGGATTCTCAGTATATTAGATATTCAATGTTGAAACTATTCATAGAAACTTGGGATTAAGAAAAATTTAGACATTACCTGTTTACAATCTTTGTTCATTCAATCCATGATTTCTATATTATGGCCCCACACTGTTGGAGCAAAGCATGAGGCCAAAGCAATATGAAAAAAAGAGCAGATAACTTAACCCACTAATCTTAAAAGACAGGTTTGGATAGTGGTGGTAGTGATTTAAAAAAAATATATTGGAATAATTAATTAATTGGAGGGCCACCTGGGTGGCTCAGTCAGCTAAGCATCCAACTCTTGATTTCTGCTCAGGTCATGATCTCATGGGTTGGAGCCACACATTCCAGCTCCCAGCTGGCAGTGTGGAGCCTGCTTGGGATTCTTTCTCTCCTATCTCTCTGCCCCTGCCCCCACACGCTCACTCTCTCTCTCTCTCTCAAAATAGAGAAACGTTAAAAAAGGTTAAAAAAAAGAAAAACTAAAGATGTAGTCCCTCAAAATAATTTAATTACACAGACCATTTAGAAACGGAACAGAAATTAAATGGTAATTTCCCTACCAAGACGTCTAGACCATGGATGCTTTTTAAAGAAATCATTAAGAGTACCATAGGGCACCTGGCTGGCTCAGTCAGTAGGGCATGCAACTTTCGATCTCAGGGTCATGAGTTCAAGGCCCATGATGGGCATAGAGCCTACTTAAAAAACAAAACACAACAACAAAAAAAGACTAGCCATAAAAAAGTCATAAATAGGCCATAAATAAATAATAATAGGCTATAAATAAAACAACAAAAGAAAGCCTCTTCTCCCTGCTGACCACCACTGTAATGCTGCTCTCCAAAAGTAACCACAATTACGTGTCCAGTAATACATTCTTTAAAAAACGAAACAAAAAACACCCAAAGATATCTGCTCATTTATATTTTTAAAACAGCAGTTACTTAAAAATCATACTTGCTGCTTCTCTTTCCATATCAGCAGGCACAACAACCTAATTCTGTAACGTGGGACTATTAGAGTGAATGTTTAATAATTTATTTAACCAATCTCCATTTTGATGGATGTTTCCAGTTTTTTGTTAATATAAACAATGTTGGAATAAACATGTCTCTACTTCTCTCTCCCTCCCCCTCTACATACAGTAGTCCCCCTTATCCATGGAGGATACATTCCTACACCCCAGTGGATGCCTGAAACCAAGGACAGTCATGAACCCTATGTATACTAGGTTTTTCCCTATACATACATACCTATGATAAAGTTTAATTTATAAATTAGATACAATAAGAGATTTTTTTAGACACCATAACATTAACAACAATAATAACAAGAATTACAACATACTATAATAAAAGTTACGTGGATGTGCTCTCTCGCTCTCTCTCTCTCTCTCTCTAAATATCTTACTTTACTGTACTCAACCGTCTTCTTGTGATGTGACATAATAAAATACCTATATGATAAGATGACATGAGGTGAATGAGCACTGTGACGTAGTGTCAGGCTACTAATGACCTTCTAATGATATATCAGAAAGAGGATCATCTGCTTCTGAACCACAATCAACCGTAAGTAACTTAAATCATGGAAAGCGAAACAGCAGATGGTGGGGAGGGCTACTATATGCATATATCTTGACCAAGTACATATAAAACCCTAACAGTAAGTGGCAAGCAGTAGGAATGGGGAGTCAAAAAGAACATGCATTTCTTATTTGAGAAGATAGTGCCAAACTATCAGCAAGACAGACTGTACCAATTTACATTCCTGTTAATACAAGTAAACCAAAACTTTTGCCAATATGATAGATAAATAATTTTATTTTAATTTGCATCAGAATGAGACTACCATTCTGAGCAACATTTCTTATGGTTATTTACCACTTTTATTTCTTTTTATGGAAACAGCCTGTTTTTATCATAATGCCCCTTTCCTACTGAGATGCTTGCTCACCTTTAAAAATGATCTGTATAAGAATTGATGGTACAGTATTACATGATTCTTACTATGACGAAGTTAAAGCTCTGTTGCTGAATTCTGAATTCTAATAGGGAATTCAAACTCCAGGTGTCCTCAGCTGGAATTCTAATGTTACTATATACATGCTTACGTCTCCCTCTTCCTCAGCACATGAGGCTTTTCTAATCACATAGTAAATGTCATGAATGGTTTTAATTTGTGAGTTAGATATTTTCTAATTACCACAGTAAATGTTAAACTGGTTCCTTATTGATGAAATTAAAAATATTCAAGATACATGGATTGGTGTGCTTGTTATACTTGTTCATCCTTTTGAGAACGGTATGTAAGAATTCAGCAAGGTGTAGACTCCTTATTCTTAGAGATGATGACCGAGCTCAGTAGTATATAATCACCTTAGTTTCAGAATCCATGAACCTTTATTGAAAATTCCCTGAGTATATATTATGAAATTGAAAGTAAAATTAAAATATTTATTAATTTAAAAATAGTGATAAAAGTATTGTGTTAAACATAAATATTTGTGAAAAATAAATTTATTTTTAAAATAAAAAAA